GAACTCTATTTGCGTAGCACTATTTAAGTAGCACTGCATGCGCTACTGTACTTTAGTTTTGTCCTCTTGTTCCCTATGTACCTTCATAGAGACATCTTCAGTAATTGTTATAGCTTTGAGGGGGGATTCTTTTTCTTTCCTAACTGTTCGTTGTTGACCCTGTAACTGTACAACTGATCCCATCATTTGATGTGTTTCACCTACATCAAGTGTTTCATATCTATTGCATTTCACCTATATCATGTTTTGCCTACATCACATTCTATCTCTATCAATGTTTCACCTTCATCACTGACACAACCCAGTGAAACCTGTTTCGTGTACATCACTGATCCAACTCAGTTTTTCATACTTATTGAACTCTATTCGCTCTACCCTATTTAAGTAGCACTGCTTCCACTACTGTACTTTAGTTTTGTCCTCTTGTCCTACCATACACTTCATAGCACAGTGTCTCTCTAGTAATAGACTCAGTTGTCTATTCAAGTCTCAGTCTCAGTCTGAAGCTCTGTTCCAAACCAGTATATCCTCTCAAACCGCCATCAGCTATAGCAGCTCAGTTTACAAGTCTAGTATCAGTGTAGGACAATAGCATGTATAAGTCCTTGTATCACTTAAACAGTCGAACTCCTGATCCTCAGTCATTAGGTCCCTTAACAGTAATAGACTCAGTTGTCTATTCTAGTCTCAGTCTGAAGTGTTGCTTCAACCAGTCGTCATTCTCAAACCACTGTTAGTTACAGTAGCTCAGCCTATAAGTCTAGTACTAGTGTAACACGTCAGCCCTACGCATGGCAGTATCTATATAGAAGGGGAGGACGGGGCGCTAAAAAGCCACAAAGCCACATGGCGGCCACATGGCCTGACCATCGTTCCCTAATGCTCTGCGCGCGGGCACAAGAGGAAACTGTGATAATAGGTTGACTACACAATATACAAAAAGTAAAATTACTGTAGTAATAAAATAATCTCTTCATGTTCCTGAGTCAACAGTACCTGATTGAATTATTGCATAAAACCTTGCGCCTTATATCATAGGTGGTTTCAAGCTTCCATTATGATTGTTTTGAAATCACATTAGCATAGAATACAAAGTTAATCCACA